TCCCAATTGTTCTTTGATGGTTCCTCGTCCCTCTTTTTCTCCAACCATGACAATACCCACCCCTCGAGACGAGCCTTGTCCCCAAGGATCGAACGCAGTAAACTGTCCCTTGAGTGTCGAATAATCCTCCCAAATGTCATTCTCTTCAGCGAGATTCTCCCAACGAACCAAAAGTTGAATCACAGGTTTGCCGTTTTTGTTTACAATCCTTCTGCCCATAATCTTTAAGGTTTTGATTTGCAACAGCCCTTCATCATCAACTGTAGGAGGATCGGTGACAAAAATGGATGAATCGTCGATGAACTTCTTCAAGAGGCTCACATGGAATACTGGATGCAATTGAGAGGAATCTGGTAAGTCTAATCGATAGGCTACTGTTCTTATTTTTTCCAGAATTCGATAAGGCCCATAAAATTTCGTTGCTAACTTCAAGTTCTTTCGCAGGGCGATGGACATATGCCTGTAGGGCTGCAATTTTAGGTATACTTCTTCTCCAATTTGAAATTGTCGTTCACTACGATTTTTTTCAATATGTTGTTTAATTCTATTCTGTAACATATATGGGACCTTATGCAATGTGAATTCTAAACACCATAGCAGAGTAGGTAGTTTATCGGAATTCACATTCACTTCATACAACACTTCATCATTGTTTTGTGAAACTTTGCTCTTCCCTATATTGTTTGGCCTCTCATTTCTCCGTTTCAATGTAACAAGTTGCCCGACTCGAAGACCAATAGAATAAAAAGGTAGAAACCCCATAGCTAGGCATGGGTCATGAATTGGCAGCTCAATATACCCAAACTTATACCCTACATATTTCTTTAGATGAGTAAACATATTCCAAATAGGTTGAGTTTCATTTGTAAGCTCCCAATCCCAGTACCTGTCCACAACCTTCTCGCGGTTTTCTGACCACCAAGATTCTGCTTGGTGCTCTCCAAATCTTCGTCGGTTGAACCGCACACATTTAAGATCCCTAGTTCCATCCTGCAATGCTACAAGAGTTATGTAGACTCCAGGCTCATATTGTTCAATCCAATCAGACTCAGCTTGACCACCATTAGCTACTGATGCAAAATTTCTGCATTTCATACTATTTTTGCTCTCTCCGAAAGATCCAGATTCTCTTTCATTAATAACCTCTGGCAAAGTATTGTTCCCTTCCTTCAAACCTGTGATACCCTTCAGCAGCCTAGTATCTGAATGGCCATTGATTGTGTTAGAATCAAGTGCAGTGAGGAAAGCAAGAAAAGAGCCACCAATTGAATTAGATCTCAAATGTCTCAATCTATTTGAATCTGGACAGTGAACACCATTTTGCTCCAACAAATATTTTAGTGGTTCGTGATCCGTTTTTATGAAAAGCATTGCTGCAACGCACCCTCCGACCAATATAGCTTGAACCAAGTTACTTAGCCGCTATTTTTTTTACCTCGATAGGAAGTAGATCATCAATTTCCTTCTCAACGTCAAATACTGTCTCATCAACAGAGGCATCAATATTTACCATGCTTGAAGCCATTTGAATCGTTGATGCTTTCAGTTCATTTAATCCCCTAGCAGTAGGTTCTTGGTAAACCAGTGGACTCTGTATTTGTTGATAAGCTTCTCGCATACTGTCGTACACTTGTCCTAAGCTTGCATTATTATGCATACATTTGCGGGCTGTCACTACTATTCTGTTTCGAAGCAATTGATGCTTCAATGCAACCAAGCTTTTAGTATGCGTAGGAGACTTATGAATGACACAATTTTCCGGAGGGATGCCAATAAGACCACATAATATCGTCAAAAATCCAAGAAGTAAGTCATAATGAAAAGAAGGTGGTTTTCTCAAGTTGAATTCCTTCTGCTGAGCTAGTTGCAGAGCTACACTGTGATCAAAATAATACAGGACATCGATCATAGTTGCTGGAATGAAAGCTCCGATTATATAGAGCACCAGAACCTTTAGCATGTCCTTAAACTTGAAGTGGACGTGACGAGTCTGAAATGTTGTCTTATGGATGTCTTGTGGTTGGATAAAGATTTTCCAATTTCCCGAGAGTAAGTCTATTTTGGAAAAAAAAATTACCCCATGTAATTCATCCAAAAGGTCCTCAACAACTGGAATTGGGAATTTATTCTTGATCGTCTGGCTGTTTAGTTGTCTGTAATCAACACAAAAGCGCCAAGAACCAATTTTCTTCTTAACCAGCAAATAGGGAGAAGCAAATGGAGTTTTGTTTGCTTGAATTATAGAGGAAGTCAACATCTGAGTGATCTGTTTTTCCACCTCATTTTTATGATGATGCGTGAAGCGAAAGGGTCGTAAATTGATTAGAAAGGAGCCTGGTATGAGAGTAATTGGATGGTCATGAACCTTGATAGGAGGCAAACCCGTAGACTCATCAAAGATACTGTCAAACTCTTGTAATAAAGGCTCTAATTCACTGGAAATTGTTGAAGCAACAGGGTCCATATCGAGTACATATAATTCGTCCATTAAAGAAGAAACCTTTGTTGTCATTTTTTGCATTCTGTTTCCTGGTATCGATTTCCAATTACCCATCGTAGTCTGACCTTGTATAATCATCAGGTTGCCATCCTTTTGAAAGCTCGAAGTCATGTCTTTACAGTCCATAAGAACTGGACTAAATTGCTTCATCCAATCGACACCAAGCACCCTATCACTCCAACCAAGTCGAAGGATTCGAAAGTCATGATTAAAATGGAATCCTTGTATTGTCCAAGATACTTGATTCGATCTAGTTGAACTGAAGACTTTCTCTCCATTAGCAACTATTATTGCCAAAGGTTGAGTGAAACCCATTTCGAGACCCTCATTTAAACCACTAACAAAAATTGACACTAAGAATTCCTCTCGCAATGTAGGACTTTGAATCAGAATATAGGGCTTAAGTTCTTCATACTTATCTTGTTACTCGTCAACATAACATTTTTGCAACAACTTACTAAATTCTTCCATAATTTTCGGAAAAGTTTTGTCGTTAAATCTATGACATATATCAGCTTCAAATTCATGCCATAAGACTCGATGTTTTTGCAAAATATAATCATCAAACCAAGTTTCAGCCTTACCTCTATTATGCATTGCAGTTAGCGCCACTCGTTCTTCAGCAGTAACTCCATAAAAATGAAAGAATTTGATGCACTTTTGGATCCATCCCTTTGGATTTGTTCCTTCAAATATAGGTAATTCTATTCGAAGTCTTGGTGTCACTGATCCGAGACTCCCAAATGACCCTCATCGTTCATCAACAAGGGCTCCTTGTGATATTTTTGTTCCACTGCCGTCACCCAACTGCAAATCTGCTTTCGGCTTCTGAGGTGGTTCATCTGGTTTGGACTTTAGAATTCTAGATTTCTCCAGTTGGTAAGTAAAGCCTGATTTTTCATTGATTATTGTCACAGCCGCTGGTTGCTTACCATCAAGTTTTGAAGGTTCAAGAGTATTCACCTGCTGACTATCGGGGCTTTCTGGTTCCTGCCCGTCCTTCTTTCTAATCAGTATACCCAAAATTTGTTCGACATAACCTTGATATGTATCCATCCGGACTTCCAATGAGCTGATTCGATTGTCTTTCCTCTCCCACCACTTTGGTGGATTAGTGTCGTCTGTTGCGTTCTTCACCAAAAGCGTCAAATCCTCTATTTGTTTCTGTAGTGCAAAAAGTTATGGATTTTGTGTCATTGTGTGGTTTTTCTTTAGCATAACAGATATCAAAAGCCAGGAATGGAGGCTCTGAATACCAATTTGTTATGGAATAGAAGAAATAGAACGAGTTTTAAGAAAAGAATGAGAGAATTGAGAGAAGAAATCGATCATTCATTCATTGCATAAGGGATTTTTACAACCAAGGCATGTAATTTATTTAGTTACATTTGCCATACATTTCATGCCAGCTGTCCTTGCTATATAACAACTAAATAACAGAATTATTCTTCTCTTTCCTTTCTTCTTCAGGTACTGAACCTTTGGTTTTGGGCTGCTCCTTCAGACATTTACTTTGCCTGGCCTGCTCCACTGCTATGGTAAATTTCCTCGTGCACCTCACGTGATTTAATTCCCAATCCTTGTCTTCAATCCCTAACCCTCGATCCTCATTTCCCAATTGTTCTTTGATGGTTCCTCGTCCCTCTTCTTCTCCAACCATGACAAACTCAAGCTCAAAATTAAGCTCTACCCTACTGTAATCCTTACAGGAACTAAAGTAACCTATATATCTGACCTTAACAATTATCCATATCTTATTGTCCCCAGACTCTGCACTTAACTTACATGCTATAACCAAAGCATATTGCAAATGCTTCCCGAAACTCGAATGCTAATAGAAGGCTTGACGAAATCTCTAGCTTCTTTTCAAATTTCATCAATAAATTGACTATATTGTTTTCATAGTTAGGACTTGCTTTAAAAATAGAGTATTAATTATTAATATCTTGGTAGAGTTTATAGTAAATTGCAGTAGATAATGACAAAATAGAACCTTTTTGACACATTCTACAAAGTCTAGAATCATTTGGACCATAACATCTATGCATTAGACACTAAATACCAACAGAATAAATGGTAATGAAGATATTCCGTCATAACTTCTATCATTATTCCTTCTAATCCTCCCTGCCCCTGGACTGTTCATCAATGTCACTCTCTAATCTAAGTGAAGGCTTTGATCCAAAAGGATACAATACTAAACATTCTTTTAAGTTTCATTACTACGTTCCAAACTAAACTTTATTGAGTTACTCAGCTATTAAAACGAAAACAGATCTCTCATATTAACTGCAAAAGTACAACTGCAGTGCACTCTGGCAATGATTGGAAACCATAATTCCCACAAGAAAATATATTATATCGTACCTACAACAAAGCGGCCTATATAAATAACATAATAAAGCGGCTTAGCATATATACTATTGACTAGAAACTATACCGTTTGCCAATAGGAGAACTTCAATTCTCTTATAACACCGATAAGAAGGCTCCAAAGTCGAATCCAAACCAAGGGAGGTTAAAATTCCAAAACTTCAAGAAGGAAAATTAATTGTCCCTCTAAATAACATAATCAGACCACTCGGTAATGTGTGAAGTATGATCCATGGTGAAACTTGGAATCTTGTCAAGCTTTATAGGGTTCTCCTTCCCCCTATCAATCTAGCAGGATTCCCCACAGCAGTAGTCCTCGGTGGCACTTCCTTTAACACCACAGAACCAGCACCAATCTTAGCTCCATCGCCAATCTTAATATTCCCTAAAATGCAAGTACCGGCACCGATCAAAACACCGTCTCCGATCTTTGGATGTCTATCACCAGAAGCCTTACCAGTTCCTCCTAATGTTACATTATGTAAAATCGACACATTGTTTCCAATCACAGCTGTCTCTCCAACAACAACACCAGTAGCATGATCAAACAATATGCCCCTCCCAATCTTAGCTCCAGGATGAATATCCACAGCAAAAACCTCAGACACCCTATTTTGTATCAGCAAGGCCAAAACTTTCCTCCCTTGAGACCATATATTATGTGCTACCCTATGTGCTTGACAGGCTAGGAACCCTTTATAGTTCAAAAAGCAATGCACGTAACTTACACAGGCAGGGTCTCTTTCTTTAGCAGCTTTCAAATCTTCCTTTACAGCTTCTATAATCCCTTGATCTTCCACGAGCACAGCCATGAAAATATCATATAAAGTACCACTAGGAAGACTTGAAATGCATAATTTGATCGACAAGTGATTGGCTAAAGCACTCTCTAATGAATTGTGGGACAAGATGGAGGTGTAATAATAATTTGACAAGACGGGCTCTTGCTCAACATCTAACCTTGCTTCTTCTTTCATTTTCAGCCATAAATCACCAACCTCTTCTTCTTCTTCTTCCTCCTCAAAAGGAAAATCGACGAATTCTCTTGTGGGGGCAGTTTTCGTGTGGTTTTCAATAAAGGGTTCGCTGGAAACATGATTTGGAAAAGAGGGTCTGCAGAGATTTCCATACCTGAAATGATTGTCGTCAGGCTGAGAAAGTTGGGAAGGATTGGATATTCTCGAGGTATCAACACAAGCGGCCATGGATTTGTGTAGGTTGTGGCAATAACTTGATGAGAAAATCGATGGAGATGAGTGTGGATAAGAGAAACGAGTAGAATTGGTATATAAAAGGAGAGTTAAAGATCCAGGCTCCCCCAGAACTTTCATGGAAACTGGGATTTCCTGGGAAATTTGGTGTTTGGTTTGTTAACAATTTATAGGAGAAAGAGGTTAAAGAAAAATTATTAAAAAATTTCTGGTCGCACAGGGAACTTTGGCCTTTGGCGCACATTATTTTATAAGAGTTCTTAGCTGCCCTACCTGTTAAGGATCAAATCGGTATTCTCTTTTATTTTTTCATTCTTTATATATAAAAAAAATCACATCATAGTTATACAAGAATCGATGATATTTTTTATTGGTGAAACTAGCAGCCAAGTCCCTGTACTAAATGGATTGTATTAATCTAGTCTCACTACTATTAAATGGATTAATTAATTTGCTTTATTATATAAATGAAATCAAATCCATTCTTCTATTATTAAATAAATCATTTTAGTCTTTATAATGACAAATATTAAACTTTTTAACTGATATTTTTTTAGACAATAAATATTATATTTGTAAAAATAGTATATTTGATTCTTTTTAATGGTATAGAGATTAAATTTATCCATCAATAATATAGGAAATGTTTTATTGATTAATATGGGGTAAGTATAAGGTAATATATATTTAATGATAATTCTCAATATTTTGATATTAAACGTTCACACTCTTAACATCTATGGTGCTTGAACTCGATTATTCAAAAAACAATAATAATTTTTTAATCACGAAAATCACATAATTTGTACCTGTCATTAAAATTGAATGGTAGAATACGGAGTATCCAATTCCCCCACCCCTTGGTGTCAGTTTGTGGTCCTTTCTTTTCGAGTTCCAATTTCTATTTCTTTCTTTATTAACCATTTTTTTATTTTATTTATCTGTTTTTGGTGCAAATGTATACTTTATTTATTTGGGTAAAATATGATGATAGTCATTCGACTATAGAAAATATTTTTATTGAGTCATCTAATTTAATTTTTTCTAACAACTAGTGTTATAAACTAGCCCTTCATTTTTTTCTCGTACCAAACTCTATCGATTTTTCTGACAATAAATGCGGCAATCAGAGTATCCAAATCAAATTGTAGTAAAATAAAGGGTGAATGGTGTTTTAGAACATAAACTATCATTTTTGTTTTATTTTAATACTTAAATTTTTAATTTTTTTAAAATTATATCTAAAATTTAGTTTTTGTTTTATTTAGTATCCGTTTAAAATTTAGCGTTAAGTTTTCTTAAAAAATATATTAAATTTAAATATTAAAACGTGTCAAAATTAATAGTTTAAGTACTATACGTGTTAAATTTTTAATGACGAATATTAAAATAAAATAAAAATTAAATAATATATATAATTTTAAAACATTCAAAAATTAAATATAAATAAAAATTAATAGCTTAAATACTAAATATTTATTATCGTTGATTTTTCCGGCGTCTGTGACGTCGGCGATGACGCATCTCCTAAACAGTACCTCTCAAATATGGAAACTGAAAATGGAGTTTTAGGGAAAAGGAGAGGACAAAAATGACATTTGAGTATGGTCACCGTGACTTCCACGCATGTCTGTTCTAATTGACTAAAATGCTCCAATAATAATAACAGTTGACCCTCTTATGTAACTGCTTACGTTTCGTGTTCCATGTTTTGCCTCAAGAGAAGGCCCACGTCTCATATTGCCTCGGCTGCTACTCATCGTGTGGGCTAATTTACGAAAATAACATTCATTTTATTTATTTATTAAAATGATATTTAAATAATATTATTTGATAAAATTATAGTTTTTTTATAAGATTGTGTAACGTGAGAAGTATTTTTCAATAGAAATATATTTTTGTAAAGTGTAAACGTTGCATATTTTTCGGGTAGTTTTTTTCTTGTGTTGATGTTTTTTCATAAGTGAAATAAAAGAAATGAGACTAATGAGTTAACAATTTAAAAAATATATACAAAAATTATTTGAAAAATAACATGCACACGAGCATGAAGTGGTCGAATAACAGATGCGATGCGCGTGTATAAACATTATATCCAATGGTTTACTAGGTTCATGTTTAGAATATTACGTTAAGTACACATCAAACGATTTTAGTAGTTAAAGATAAAGTTGCTCTCTCTAGATGACTCGGGTTTCAATAGCATCGTCTGTTTGTGCGTACGCATTCATTGTCAGATAGTTGAGAGAATTCTAAATATATATTATCTTTAACTTTCGTATTGGAACGAGTGATCAAGATTAAGAACTTTCTTTGATAGCTTAAAATAAAAAAATTTATCATGATATTCTCAAATATCGTATTATTTATATATACATTTTTAAAGTGTTTAAATATAGTATTCTAAATATATTCATTTAATGATTGAAAACAATGTCTACATATGTGCATTATTATCGTCGTTTAATTGGCTCGTGCTCGTGCAAACATGTGTTTTAGGCACATGCGCTTTATTTTATAATGAGATTTATTTAGGGTTATGATCCTCATGTTACAAGTAAATTAACTTTTCTCACCACTTATCATTTCTATTCCAAAAAAAAAATGAAGCTGATGGGGATGGCCATAACAAGGACAAAAGGAATCAACCAATCACTTAAAACACAAAAATAATTCTTCAAGTTGTTGAACAAAAGAGTTGCAGAAATGAATTGGATCTTAAACTTGTACAGAATTTAGCTGAGCATAACGCTAGCTGTGTCTTCTTCTTCAGAGCTTGACTTCCACATCCACACCAGCAGGGAGGTCAAGCTGCATCAGAGAATCAGTGGTTTGTGCGGTTGGGAAGAGAATGTCGATAAGGCGCTGGTGTGTCCTGATCTCAAAGTGGAACCTTGCGTCCTTGTGCACATGAGGGGATTTAAGGACACAACAGATCCTCTTCTTGGTCGGTAAGGGCACCGGACCCAGCATTGGTGGTCCGTGCAGCATCCAGTATCTGCTTGCAAGAGTCCTCGATCAAGGGCACCCAGTATGACCTGAGTTTAATTCTTATCTTCTTCTTAGGCGCTGCCTGTCACAACAAAGATGAACAAGATGCTAAACAACCAGGTTTTCTCCATAACTAATATGCACAAGCTTCACAAACACAAAAGCAGCTCGAAATGTACCTTTTCAGCTTCTGCAACATATGAAGAACTGGGAACCTCAGAAATTCCTACCTGCAGAACCAAAAGAACTCAACCCCATTAAGACAAAAGACTTATCTTTGCTGTTCCCATGATTTCTAAGGAACCAAAGGCTTAATCTAAAGTTCAAAGTTCTTAACTTTTCTAAAAGGAAGGAAAATTTTCAAACCTGGGGTGTCTCTTCCAAAGCTTCAGGGGCAGCAAAAAGCTTGGTGGGCGATTGTGAAAGTTTAATTGCTGAGCTTCAAGTGGCTGAAAGGAAGTGGTGGAGAATGAGAAAGAAAAGTGAAGTTTGGTTGTGGTGAAGAAGGAATTAGAGTTGAAGAGATTGATGATATCGCCATTGCTAACTCCCAGTGTTATCCAAAACCGAAAGGGGTTGCCAACTTTATTAGATAAAATACATTTAAGATCATTTATTTTAAATGACTTAAGTTTATATTTCTTTAAAAGTTTTTTAGTTATTGATAATATAAATATATTCATACAGCTGTTTAAACTCATAATTTTTAAAAATATAATACTTTATTTTATTATTAAATTCATTTAATGAATTTATTTATAATTTGTCATTTATTTATGTTTAAACCCATTAATTCAAACAGTCTGAATCATAAGAATTGAATAACACCCATCATGAAAAGAGGCTGGTTTATATAACATTAGTGTTTTCCTTCTCAGCTAAAAGATGCATAAAACTGCTGTTTTTTGCTTCACAATTTCTATTAACTACTCATCAAAGAAACCACCTTCCCCATGTTCAAACAACAAACTCCCAATTAACTGATTTTAAAGACTCCTCTTTTAACTGGTTTTTTTTCTTTTCATTTTGTCCATGCACAAATCTCTCGTGAACTTCCTTCTTGATTCTGAATTGGGTTTTTCCCCATTGTTTACAGCTTTCAACTCTTCCCCTCTCTTTGTACTTTGTTCTATTAAGATCAAACTTAAATTTGATTTCGGTTCTTCAAATGATTCTTGCAAGCTTTAATCTTCTTGCTACTGTTTAGTGCACACACACTCCTTTACGCTCCTTTTATTATTATTCTCACCTCTTTCACACTCTTGCAACTTCAGACACTGTATATGTAAACTCCTGAACTTCAACGACAATATAAATTCTAGTCACTGAACAAAACATGGGATTGTCTCGGTTTCTGGGTTTTCGATTGCCAAAGCTTTGACAGAATCTTAAGCTATGGACTACGGCTGCTGTTTCTCTTTGGTTGTGGTTGTGGTTGCTTTCAGTTTTCGAGTCGGTTTTTCGATGACTAATGAAGTGCATGTGAAGAATTTCATCAGTTGGGATGACATAAAAGTGGATGAACATCAAATAAAATTGAGTGATTCGAGGGTTAATCGTAATCGAAGCCGAGTTATCGTGGTTAACAAGAATGGTGGAGCGGATTCCGTCACTGTTCAAGGAGCAATAGATATGATTCCGGAGAATAATACTAGGAGAGTTAAGATTTTTATTCTTCCTGGAACTTACAGGTTCGTATGTATAACTGACGGGCCTGCATCGACTGTTAACATTTATGGGAATGCTTCTTCTCCTCTATTCTCTCACCTTTTTCAGCTAATTTTGATCATTTTTGCAGGGAGAAAGTAACTGTCCCGAAGAGCAAGCCATATATATCATTTGTTGGGAATGCCGGTCAAATGTCCAACACCATAATTTCTTGGGGCGACAAAGCATCTGATAAAGATAACAATGGAATTAGCCTGGGAACTTATAGATCAGCATCTGTCACCGTTTTATCCGATTACTTTTGTGCAACTGATATCACATTTGAGGTGATTCCTCTTTTGATTCTAAAAAATCAGTGAAAAAGCTCATTTCTTGGTGCAACATATAGATCAACTCGTTTCGGGCTTTATCCGATTACTTTTGTTGCAGAATACTGTAATACAAACACCTGGAGAACCCGGAATGCAAGCTGTGGCCTTGAAGATTTCTGGTGACAAGGCAATGTTCTACAAGGTCAAGGTTGTTGGGACACAGGACACCCTCTTGGATGAAACTGGATCACATTACTTCTACCAG